GTACTATGCTTAGTACCTGGGTTATGAAGTAATCTGTACAACAAATCCCCAAGTCATGAGTTTACCTATGTAACAAACCTACAAATGTACTTCTGAAACTACACAAAGGTTAAAATATGTATTTTTAAAATTCTCTTCGTCTATTGCTTTAACTATATCCCACACATCTTGAATTATACTAGTGCTATTATTATTTAGTTCTAATGGTTTTTTTTTTTTTTTTTGGGGACAGAAGGTTAGTTTTTAATTAGGATGTAGACACACAATGTAATCTGTATAACAGTGGTCGTTTGATAGATGAGTTTTTTCTTTTCTAACCTAGAATGTAGTCAATATTTGTAAATGCTTCATGTGTGCTTAAGAACATAGTTGATCAGTATTCACAGATTCTGTATTTGTGAATTCTCTTACTACAATTTGTGATCTCAAAGCCAATACTCATGGTACATTCATAGTCATTCGAGGACATGCACAAAGCAGCAAAAAACTGAGTTGTTCAGTGCTCACATTCCCAGCTGAGGTCAAACAAGGTGACATCCTGCCTTCTTGTTTTAGCTCTTATACCATAAACAAATGTCCTTTTCAAAACCTAGTCAGTGTCACGTTGTTTGCACGCATTATTATGCTTTTTCTTGGTGATTTTGTTATTTAAATGGCCTTCGAGAACAATGATAAAGGGCTAACTAGTGTCCTTAATTGCAGGAAGGCTATATGATGTACCTTACACAGAAAATACATGTTAGATAAACTTCCTCCAAGCATAAGGTATAGTGCTATTGGCCTTGCTCAATGTCAATGAATCCGTAATATATATTTAATAAGGTGCCTTTAAACAGAAATACACATAAAACAAAGTGACCAGTGAACTGGGTGATAAAAATATTATGGTCAGAGGTTTGCAGGAACTTAACCTTATATTTCCCCCAGGACCAATGATTCAATATTTACCAAGTCAGTATTCAGGGGGACTTTACAGAACATAACTATCACGAATCACAAGAATTGGCCATATGGACTCCCTAATTATTGGGTAAAGATTCCTAATATGTCTGTTACATTTTTAAAAAGGAAATTGTGGTCAACAATGTCAACAACCGTGATGTATTTGGATGACAACTGCTGATTTTATGAGGTTTCCTGTAACCTTGGGGATAAGATTAAGAAGGCCCACAGTAACCAGTATTATATATAATCATATTCAGAAGAGGCTGATTAATGGATCCATATCTCGGAGGGAGGTCTCTAGGGGCTGGCTTCAGAGCTCAGCTTAACATATTTATCATGATATGGATAAGAACAGTTAAAGGATAAGCTCTCATAGAAACTTTATTAACCTTACTGGTTCTCTATATTTTTTTATCTTCTCTACCTAGCTATTTAAACTCTATCACCATTCACTTTCTCCTTGTTACTCTTCATCTAAGACTACATATGGTTAGAGTGAAATGCAATTTCACCTGTTTTCTTCTTTATGTTTTTAAACCACAATGAGATACATCTCACATCAGTTAGAATGGCAATCATTAAAAAGTCTGGAAACAACAGATGCTGGCGAGGACGTGGAAAAATAGAAATGCTTTTACACTATTGGTGGGAGTGTAAATTAGTTCAACCATTGTGGAAGACAGTGTGGCAATTCCTCAAAGATCTAGAACCAGAAATAGCATTTAATCCAGCAATCCCATTACTGGATATATATGTAAAGGATTATAAATCATTCTACTATGAAGACACATGCACACGTATGTTTATTGCAGCACTATTTACACTAGCAAAGACTTGAAACCAACCCAAATGCTCACCAATGATAGACTGGAAAAAGACAATGTGGCATATATACACCGTGGAATACTAGGCAGCCATAAAAAAGAATGAGTTCATGTCCTTTGCAGGGACATGGATTAAACTGGAAACCATCATCCTCAGCAAACTAACACAGGAACTGAAAACCAAACACTGCCTGTTCTCACTCATAGTGGGATTTGAACAATGAGAACACATGAGCACAGGGAGGGGAACATCACACACTGCAGCCTGTCGAGGGGGTGGTGGAAAGGGGAGGAAGAGCATTAGGACAAATACCTAATACACGCCAAGCTTAAAACCTAGGTGATGGGTTGATAGATGCAGCAAACCACCATGGCACATGTATACCTGTATAACAAACCTGCACATTCAGCACATGTCTCCCAGAACTTAAAGTAAAAAAAAAAAAAAAGAAAAAAAAAGAAGTGGTACACAAGTCCTCTTGTGTTAGAGTTTTTGTCATCATTACGACAATAACATAATCACAAAATAAGTCTGAGAGAGTGACCATGCATTTCCAAAGCAGTAACAGTTATAGTCCTACTCTGTATTTAATCCATTTTGATTTAGTAAGCATGTATCTGAATATCTAGTATAGGCCAGGCATTGTGCAAGGTGCCTCCAGGGACACGAAGAGGATATAAGGGATCACTCTGCCCTCAAGAAGGCTGATAATGAAGCTCACTTTATTAGAGCCTCTGACGCCTGCAGAGAGGGCAGATCCTTGAGACATTCCTCTGAAAGCTGGCTTGAGCAATGGCTTTTCTGAGAACCTGAGATTTGTGTGATTCTTTTAGCAAAGGACCTCAGCACAGAGAATGAGCAGTCCCCTGGGGCATTGCTTCAACCCCATTTACCAATGTATAGATGACCGGACGATCAAACACACACACACACCCCGACCACCACCACCAACAACAACTTTTAGGTGACTTGAATCTAGAAGAGAAAGTAAATATACAGAATTTAAAAGTTAGAAACCAGTCTCTAAGTCCAAATATAACAAAATAAAGTAGCCAGATATCCACAGGGCAAAGTTAAAAATGAACATTTTTACATTATAATATGACCATGTCACCTTTATGCTAGTTTTTGCTCATTTGTTTTTAGAGATATTTTTAAATTTTAAAACTGTGCTAAGCGGTTGCCAGGGGCTGGGGAGAGGGGGTAAAGGGTAGTTACTGTTTAATGAGTACAAGTGACAATTTTGCAGATGAAAAGAAAATAATTATAGAGATGAATGATGGTGATGGTGGCATATTATGAATGTACTTAATACCACTAAATTGTGCACTTAAAAATGGCTATGATGGTAAAATTTATGTTGTGTGTATTTTGCCACAATAAAAAAAAATGAAAAGGAAAAAAATCTACATCAAACATTGAAAATAAGGAAGTTATGTCATTTTGAAATTTCACTTGCACTTTATAGGAAGAGTGAAAATGAGAATACTAGACTGCTTCCATAACAGTTATATAGACCTTAGTAACAAAATGCTTTTAATGACAATTAATGTGTTGTTTTTAATACTGATGACCAACTGCCCAGCACAGAAAGGTGAATTTAGCTTAAAAGACTTAGGGATTTTCATATCGTATTTAAAACCTTAACACACTGTGCTTTAACAATATAGAGTCGCTACTAAATGCAAGGGCTCTGCGCAAGTCAGACTGACTTGTCGGCAACCCAGACTCTTCCCTCTTCCTAGCTGAGGGGTTTTTAAGGGTAGTTACTAAAGCTCTCTGAGCTCCAGTAATTTATAGGCATTAAACCTACTTCTTGGGATTGTTTTAAGGATCAGTTGAGATTGTGCATGTAAAGTGCCTGGCCCATAGTAAGCACTGTAAATAGTGTTGATGATGATTTGCACATGCTATTTTTACGTCTGTGCTTCTTCCACCTGCCCACACTCAGCCTGGCTAGAGTTTCTTCTAGAAACCCCTACTGATCCAGACATCCTCACCCCAATCCCTAGTGCACTCTGAGTATGTTGAATTCTGTACTTGTTCTTACCACATGCATTTTAATTACATACGTCTTTGTGTCGCTAGATTGTGAACTCTTTGAAGGCAGGAACTATCCTGAATCTTTAAAGCCAAAGAATTTAGGAGTGCTTGTCACATAATCATCAAGAACAATGTTATATGTCCACTAAAAGACCTAATATAATCTTTAGGAGTATTTATAAAAATAGCGTGTTCTCTGTTTTTAAAAGCTTTTACAAATAAACTCTGACCATTGGGATGGAATCTTGTAGAACATTAGCTGCATGGTTGGATTAGATCCATGGTTCCCAAGTGTGTGAGAGTGTTATATGCAGGGTAGGGGGTAAGTTTTTCAAGCATTCTTTCTTGGGAAACTATTCTAAGACTATGTTATTATGTCCTTCTGTGTTAAAATTGTCCTTTTTTAAAAAGTGAAAAGAGAACTATGATTATTTAGAGAGTGGGGTTCTTTGTTCAGTTTGGTTTAATGTTCTTAACTAGCAAAATTAAAAATTAGCAACTTTCTCTGTTTCTCCACCCTCTGGCATTCCAACATTTTAAAAGATTTAGTTATTAGTAAAACCAAACCCAGAAATCAATGAACATTAAGGTTCATTTCAACTCTTACTCTGATTGTGTAATAGAAAAACTGTGTTCCCTACATACATTTTCTGATCATATATACAGGCACATTTTAGAATTTAGGAAACAGAAAAGTGTCCCCAAACTCATATCATAAACTTCCACTAATGGTAAGCCTAGATTTCAGACCAGTGACAGATTTTTGAGAACTTACTCATTAAGTTAAATTCAAGCCCCTTGTCACCAAGAGATTGTCTTTCAGAAGGAGGCACTAGGAATGGAAGTATATGGGGCCCTAAGATAACAAGACGCCGCACTGTTAAGTTGATTTTGTTTTCCAAAAATAAAACAGAAACAATCAAAGCCAAGTAATGAAAAAACTGCTACTACAAACAGACAGACATCTTTTCTCAAAACTTCATTAAGCCACTTTTGCTTTTCCAGTATTTCCTTTTCAATCACTCCAAACAAGCAATATACATTATCTTCTTAAAAATTGGCTTGAGAATCCTCTTGTCTTCTGGTCAACTTCGAGATGTCAAAAACCAGTGTTCATGACATTTTAGTCTCTATATGGGAAGTGACAGTCCAAACCCTGAAATTGGCTGATGTCAAATACCCAGACGATGGAAACTTCTGCTAAAAGGTTAACCAGAATATGGAGTACAGTGGGATGAAATGTGGTTTAGAGGAAGCTTGCAAAGCTAAACATGTTAAGCACCTGAACATTTCTAATGTTTTAAAATAATATATATGACAAAGCTCTTGTAGAATCAGGCTTGGTTGGCTTAGAAGAGGGCTATTTATTATCAGTGGTGATGCAGTTCCATTCCCTGTGCTTTCCCCGAAACAGCCACACAACCTGTACTGCAAGGAGAACTAGAAAGGGTTCTAAGACTGAATTTTGTCTATAAAAATCTAAATTATAACATTTGTCTTGACACAGTGGTTGAAGACAGTCCCAAAATCTAATAAGAGTTATTTAGCAAGTGTCTGAAGACTTTATAATTAAGCAGACTATTTATCCTAAAAACAATCCTATTGTGCCTCCTTAAAAATTTCAACTCTTCTTTACTCTTCCAGACAACTATTTCACACATTCTTTTCTCTCCTAAGATTTCTAACTACTCCTCCTCCTTCCTCCAGCTAAAGACTTCACCTTGGACACAAACTCATCATTTTTATGGCTGCATAATATTCCATGGTGTATGTGCCACATTTTCCCTGTCCAGTCTATCATTGATGGGCATTTGGGTTGGTTCCAGGTCTTTGCTATTGTAAACAGTGCTGCAATGAACATTCGTGTGCACGTGTCTTTATAGTAGAATGATTTATTTTGTGTCCTTTGTAGGGACATGGATGAACCTGGAAACCATCATTCTCAGCAAACCGACACAAGAGCAGAAGATCAAACATCGCATGTTCTCACTCATAGGCGGGTGAACAATGAGAACACATGGACACAGGGAGGGGAGCACTACACACTGGGGTCAGTTGGGGGGAAATAGGGGAGGGAGGATAGGGGGTGGGGAGCTGGGGAGAGATAGCAAGGGGAGAGATGCCAGATGTAGGTGATGGGGAGGAAGGCAGCAAATCACACTGCCATGAGTGTACCTATGCAACAATCTTGCATGTTCTTCACATGTACCCCAAAACCTAAAATGCAATAAAATAAATAAATGAAAAAAAAAAAAAAAGACTTCACCTTGGATTCGATTCAATGGGGTTCCAGGCTGCGCTGCGCTATGGAGCAGGGTCAGTGAGCTGAAAGAGAAGGGCAACAAGGCCCTGAGTGCAGGCAACATTGATTCTGCCTTACAGTGCTACTCTGAAGCCATTAAGCTGGATCCTCACAACCACTTGCTCTACAGCAATCGTTCTGCCGTCTATACCAAGAAAGGAGACTACTAGAAGGCTTAGGAGGACCGCTGCAAGACCATCAACCTAAAGCCTGACTGGGGCAAGGGCTATTCACGAAAAGCAGCACCTCTTGAGTTCCTAACCTGGTTTGAAGAAGCCAAGCGAACGTAAGAGGAGGGCTTAAAGCACGAGGCAAATAACCCTCAGCTGAAAGGGCACAAAACTACAAGATCCCCGGATCATGACCACTCTCAGTATCCTCCTTGGGGTCGATCTGGGCAGTATGGATGAGGAGGAAGAGGTTGCGAGGCCTCCACCGCCACCCCCTCCCAAAAAGGAGACCAAGCCAGAGCCAATGGAAGAAGATCTTCCAGAGAATAAGAAGTAGGCACTGAAAGAAAAAGAGCTGGGGAATGATGCCTACAAGAAGAAAGACTTTGACACAGCCTTGAAGCATTATGACAAAGCCAAGGAGCTGGACCCCACCAACATGGCTTACATTACCAGTCAAGCAGCCGTATACTTTGAAAAGGGTGACTACGAGTGGGGAGCTTTGTGAGAGGGCCATTGAAGTGGGGAGAGAAAGCCAAGAAGACTGTCGACAGATTGCCAAAGCTTATGCTCGAATTGGCAACTCCTACTTCAAAGAAGAAAAGTGCAAGGATGCCATTCATTTCTATAACAAGTCTCTGGCAGAGCACCGAACCCCAGATGTGCTCAAGAAATGTCAGCAGGCAGAGAAAATCCTGAAGGAGCAAGAGCGGCTGGCCTACATAAACCCCGACCTGGCTTTGGAGGAGAAGAACAAAGGCAACGAGTGTTTCCAGAAAGGGAACTATCCCCAGGCCATGAAGCATTATACAGAAGCCATCAAATGGAACCCAAAAGATGCCAAATTATACAGTAATCGAGCTGCCTGCTATACCAAACTTCTGGAGTTCCAGCTGGCACTCAAGGACTGTGAGGAATGTATCCAGATGGAGCCGACCTTCATCAAGGGTTATACCCAGAAAGCCACTGCCCTGGAAGCAATGAAGGACTACACCAAAGCCATGGATGTGTACCAGAAGGCGCTCCACCTGGACTCCAGCTGTAAGGAGGCGGCAGACGGCTGCCAGCGCTGTATGATGGCGCAGTACAACCGGCATGATAGCCCCGAAGATGTGAAGCGACGAGCCATGGCCGACCCCGAGGTGCAGCAGATCATGAGTGACCCAGCCATGCGCCTTATCCTGGAACAGATGCAGAAGGACCCCCAGGCACTCAGCAAACACTTAAAGAATCCTGTAATAGCACAGAAGATCCAGAAGCTGATGGATGTGGGTCTGATTGCAATTCGGTGATAACTTGTTCATCCCCACTTCCCTTCGCCCTCATGTGGAAAGAGGAGCTGGGACCGCTGCGAGCAGCACGGAGCGGAAGGGAGAGCAGGGGGAAAGAAGGCCTCATCTCTAAATTTATACATAACCCCGGGAAGACACAGAGACTTGTACTGGCACTGTTCGTGCCGCCGCTGCCTCTGCGCCTTCCCAGCACACGCATGGTCTCTTCACCGCTGCCCTCGAGTTCCATGTCTCCTTCCCCTGCCCCTAGTCACTGTCTGGGCTGCTCTCCCATAGTTGGTTATTTTTTATTTGGGGCAGCGGGCATGTACGGGGAGGGAAGGGGCTTCTTTCCAGCCTCAGGTCCCAGCTATCTCATGTTGTTTATTCCACGTCCCCTTCTCCAATAAAACAAACCAGTTGGGCGTGATAAAAAAAAAAAAAAAAGACCACCTCATACTTCATAAAAAATGTAAATCCAATAGAAAAAGAACCACCTCACTGCTTAATAATCTTTCCACCAACTTCCTTGCACCTGCATCCTTTTCTCTCCTACATAAATGTCTACCTTTCAAGTGGATCATTCTCATTGACATACAAACATCCCTTACCATCCTCTATCTTATAAAACAAACTTGGCTTCCTCGACTCCACATGGTGAGGTCCCGTCTGTTTCTCAGATCCCCTTCTGAACAAAACTCCTGTCTCGACTTACCTCCCTCTCACTCACTTTCTAATGTGTACTGATGGTTTTTGATTCCAATGTGCATCAGTGACCTAACTTTGCCAGCACCCCAGTTCTCCATATTCAGCTTTTGTGAACACCCAGAAGCAGTATTTGCTGTGATTACAGAATCTCTTTTCGTCAGCTTCTTTTGTACCACTATCACTTGGTTTCCCTCCCACTCCACTTCCCACTCTCCTTGCCAAGATCTTCTTCTATCAGATTCCGAATGTCAGAGAAATGTGGGGCTTTGTCCTGCACTCTCTATTCCTCTCTATCTATGCTCTCTAGGTGATTCTATTTAGTCCCATATGTTTTAAGATAAGGATTCTGAATTTTTTAGCTCTGGTCCTGGGATTCCTAAACTTTGGTGTCATAAACCCCCTTGGCAGTCTGGTTAAGCCTAGGAGCCCTGTCACAGCATGTTTCTACATGAAAGAGTATTACAAAAGAAACAACAAGGTATAGTAAAATATAGTTATTAAATTAAAAATTTACATAATAAAAGATAATTTGCTAAATTCATTAAGTAATGTGATAAAGCATAGGCCTTAATAATGAGCATCAATAATACCAATGTGGTGAGTATACACAATATTCGAGATAATGGTAATGAAATGAAAATATCTCTCACTTATATTGTTGAATATATCATGAGTATTGCCAATGTTACTGTTTTGTTGTCTATAATCATAATTGAAAGAAACATTGAATTTCAATGAAAATCAAATCCAGTAATACATAACATAATAAATCATGATAAAATAGGATTTATTCCAGAAATAAAAGATATATAAATGGTATGGTGGCTAATTTTATGTGTTGACTGAGCCACAGAGTGCCCAGATAATTGATCAAATGTTTATTCTGGATATTTCTATGAGGGCATTTTAGATAACCATTAAAATTGGTAGGGCCAGTAAAGCCTATTCCCCTCCCTAATGTGAGAGGCCACAGCCAATCAATTGAAGGTCTAAATAGAACAAAAGAGTTGGTCCTGTCCAAGTAATTCCTCCTGCCCAATTCACATTGAACTGAGACATTGGCTATTTCCTGCCTTTGAACTCTAACTGAAACATTGGCTCTTCCTGTTGAGCCAGGGTCTTGAGCCTGTTGATTTTCAGACTGGAACTACACCATTGACTCTCTTGGGTCCCCAGCCTGACAGTCCTACAGATCTTGGGACTTGTCAGCCTCCATAGTTGCATGAGTCAATTCTTTATAATAAATAAATATTCTGTTTCCTATTGGCTCTGTTTTTTCTGGAGAATCCTAACAAATACAAATGACTATCAACACATGGAAAGATAGTAAACATCATTCATCATCAAAAATTTCAAATTAAACTCAGCATGTTACTACTACACAACCTCTAAAATAGTTGTTTTTAAAATAACAAATGTTGGCAAGGATACAGAGCAATGAGACTACTCATCGCTGAATGTAGATATTGACAACCAACTTAAATAGGTTTGTTTTCTTATAAAGCTAAATACATACTTACAATACATTTCAACAATTTCACTCCTAGGTATTTAATCAAAGAAACTAAAGCATTTTTTCACTTGTGGTGGGTGGGGTATGGATGGCCCCAGGCATGCAGCAGTGGTGCAACTATTTAAACTTTCAGTGGTGAATTGGGGTGAAACACTAATGGAAGGGACTGCACAGGTGGGTGCAACTTGTCAAGCATTGGAAAGTACAGGGGAAGAAGTAATTATAAACACTATATGGAATTGGATGGCAGACACTTATAGTGATTAATCATCAATTAAAGGCTAATCACAAAAACCAGAAGATCTCCTGGTGGCATCTCCTCTCTTCTCCTCTCCTGTGCCTAGAGAGCAGAAACAAACTGAAGAATCTGAGTATCAGAGATTGAGAGGATGTTAGATTCTTCACCTTCAACCTTAGCAAGTCTGATATACCAAGATCAGGGCCCTAATTGGGGAAGATTCGGAGATAATGCCAGCACACTTATGGGGTAGTACTTGGAAGCTTGGAGAAAGCAATGGCTCATAGCAAATGAAGTAAAACGCCACAACTGCTGTGGTAAACAGAAGAAGGAATCAAAAGGCTCAGAGAAATGGGCAGACTAAGGTATATACATCACATAAAAGATCAGAAAACCTAGTATATTAGTCTGTTACTATGCTGCTGACACAGACATACATGAGAATGGGCAATTTACAAAAGAAAGAAGTTTATTGGACTCACAGTTCCACGTGGCTGGGGAAGGCCTCACAATTATGACAGAAGGTGAAAGGCATTTCTTACATGGTAGCAGCAAGAGAAAGAGCTTGTGCAGAGAAACTCCTGTTTTTATAACCATCAGATCTTGCGAGACCCATTTACTATCACGAGAACAGCATGGGAAAGACCCGCCCCCATGATTCAACCACTTCCCACTGGGTCCCTCCCACAACACGTGGGAATTATGGGAGCAACAAGATAAGATTTGGATGGGGACACAGAGCCAAATCCTATTACCTACTATATGGCTCTGTTCCATAGGACGATCTGAAGAATGCTCCATTTACCAAAGCAATAACCAATGAACTGAGTAGATGAGAAGGGCAGCAATATCACTACAGAGCTTATTGGTGGCAGCCCCTGCAGTCCTGAGCTGACTACAAGAGATGCTATTACAGAACCTAGCTCCCTGATAGCAATGAGGATCATGAGATACTAGAGCCAGGTGACTGCACTTAAACATCTGAAGCAAAGTAAGTGCAATCATGGTAATAAGCAGCAAAGTGTGGGTAGCCTCCAGGAAGGTCTGACCTGAAGAGAGCTAAAGCAGTAGTTAATACCATTGTTCTCAAACTTGAGCACGCAGCAGAATTACCTGGAGGGTTTTTTAAAACACAACTTGCTAGACTCCACCTGCCTCATTTCTGATAGTAGTTCTGAGGTGGGACCTGCTATATTGGATAAAAAATAAGTTCTCTGGTGATACTAATGTTGCTAGTCTAGAAATCATTAGTTGAGAATCAGTAGACTAATAGAACATGGCACTTTCGGGGGCAAGATTGTCAGTCAACAAGAATATTATTAAATATTTAACATCAAGAGAATTCATGAATGAATAATCAGAAGGCTAAAGGCCTAATTAATCATCCTGAATTTATTTTTTAGAGTGGTGTTTATGGAGGCCAACTAACAGAATTTTGGCTCAGGTTTGGCTCACAGTGGATCCATTGGCTCTTCAGATTCACCTGGTTATTTCCTCCATATTACTTCCTTGGTTTGTGGAGCAAGAAAGATCATACTAAGAAGGCTAAGTGGAAATCTCTGAAACTCCTCCCTTATAATCCAAGAAAGATAGTAAACCAAAAATAAAATTGCATCCTAGGACGAACGAAAGAGAAGATTGTCATGCTTAAAGACTTAGAGGATATAGAGATAGTGACCCACATCATATCCTCATTTAATTTACCAGCCTGGGTCCTACAAAAACTAGATGGGTCCTGCCAGATGAAAGTAGACTAATGCAAAATCAACAAAGTAGTAGGTCCAAATTCAGCTGCTCTGCTAGATGTGGCCAAAACTAATTATCATAGTCTTAGTATGATATAAGGCTACTGTCCTGATTAACACATTTTTTAACCCTATTTGAAAGGAAGACAAGAATCAGTTCACAATCATGTTGGAAAGACACCAGTATAAAGTTACAGTCTTACCCCAGGGCATGTTAACTCTCTTGTTCGCTGTCTTAATACAGTCCAAATGGACCTGGACCATCTGGACATTCTGCAGAATATCACGGTAGTCAAATGGTCATATTAACTGAACAAGATGACCAAGAAGTGGATGTACATTTGAAGCCTTGGTAAGAAACATGCATTGTATAGGATGGGAGATAAAACCCATGAAGATTCAAAGATGTACCAGATCGGTGAAATGCTTAAGAGACCATTGAGGAGCTTAGGACAAGACTGTCAAAGTAAAAGACAAATTGTTTCATCTTGGCTTTTCTATTATGAAAAAAGAACCACAAAACCTAGTTCTTTGAATCCTGGAGGCAGCCTATTCCCCACTTGGGAATGGTACTCTGACCATTTACTTAGTAACCTGTAAGGATACAAGCTTTGAATGTGGCCCAGATGAAGGATATGTTCTGTAAAATGTCCAAACTGTGTGTAAACAGCCTTTCCAGTTGGGCCATATGACCCAGCAGACCCTAAGGTATCTCTGGTGGGAAAAGACACTATGTGGAGTTTCTGGCAAGCACCAATAGGAAAATCACAAGGACATTTGAGGGTTCTTGCACGAAGCTATAGCATCTAAAACACAAAATTATATACAGTTCAATAAACAGCTCCAAATGTGCTGATGAGCCCTTGGGAGTATCTGATAGTGAAATGTCAAATGACTATGGGGGTAGAACAGTTTTTCATTCTGTCAGACCCATCATGTCTCAAGGTTGTACTCTTCCAGCATCCATCTATCTTAAGATATAAATAGGACATTTTGAATTGAACCCATGTAGGGCCAATTCAAGGGGATAAGTAAGCTGGTGCAGGAGAATCTTTGAACAGTGTACCAGTCACTTTGTATGAAAAGAGAAGCGGACCCAGGTTATAAACTCAAAGGCAGTGACAATTGACTTGGCTAGTTGATTAGAGGTCTGCAGGAAGGATATTGGATGATTGTGTACAAGTCTGAGGAAGAAGCATGTGGGTAGATGTATGGGAGAGAATAT